ATAGAGAGAAAATTTTAATTTTCACTATATTTTATTAGTAAATTTAGCTCCTGAATCATTACTTTTGGTTGCCACTGTAAAATAAAATTATAAATTTATTATTCTTAAAAATATAAAAATATATTAAAGCTTTTTATAAATTAAATTAGTTTAACTTTCAAATCAAATTTAAATTAATTCAAGTTTTTATATATAATAACTCTTATAATTATGAAATTAAAGATCAATTTTATTAATAAATATAATAAAAATTAAAATTTTCTTTTTATAATCTTATCAAGAAATAATTTTATTTTTATATCAAAATAAAATTTATAAATTATAAGTTTAACATATATTTTTTGAAAGAGTTATTTCAATTATAAGTTATTTTTAATTAAAAATGAAATTTAATTAAAAAAATTTTGCAATGATTTTAGGATAAAAATATATATTTTAATATAAAAATAAAAATTATTTCTTAATAAATTATAAGCTTTAATATAAAAAGAAAATTTAAATTTTTATTAATAAAATTAACTTTCTAATTTACTAATTATGAGAGTCATTAATTTTAAATATTAAATATAAATATTTTAAGAGTTTAATTAATAATCAGTATTTATATTTTAAATTATAAATTTCATTAATAAATTTTTTGTTTTTTTCAATTTGATTTCTTCAAGCTATTATATTTTTCTTATAATTTTTCTAATTTAAATATAATTTCTTTTCTTTTTTCTTTTTTATCTTTTATTTATTATTTTAATTTTCTATTTTCAATATTCTAACAAAATTAATTACAAAATTAGAAAAAGAAAAATTCAACTTAATTCTGAAAATATTCTGATAGAATTATTTATTATTAGGCATTTAGAAATATATATGTAAATTAAATAATCATATTTATTAAAATAATATTCTTTTTATGTGTAAAAAAATTTAACTAAGAACCAACTATATTATAATTATTTTCTTTAATTTTTATATATCATATAATATTATCATAACTTTACCTCTCTTTGCACTTTATCTTTTTACCTCTGAATTAAATCTTTTATCTTTTATTATATATTATAATATCCGAGTATGCATAATACATTTGTTTTCTGAATGCCATTACAATCATGTAAAATTTATTAGCACTATAATTTATTTGAAATTTTGATTACAAGCATTATAAGTTTATAATCGGTGATTTGCTATACATGCTATTATAAGTCTTTATTTTAATTTTTATTTTCATTCAGATTTATATTTGAATTCTAAAATGAAAAGATAAAATGAAATAATAAAGAAAAAACTAGAAGAAAAAAAATATTTACATTTAAGATAATGACAATACTATTGCTAGCAATACTAAGCATTAATTTTTTTATAACAAATCAATTTTAAAGGAGCTCAGCTCCAAAATTTTAAAATTTTTCATTAATGTTCAAAAATATTGTCTAGGATCACTAACATTGTGAACCTCGGGAATAGATAGTGAACGACGTTTATTGTTTATTATCGTCGAAGATGACAAATCAAGTTCTGCTGTTCTTTTTCGTGTAAATTGGTGCGGTTGCGGTAATGCATAGCGATTAGCAACAGATTCATGTTGATGTGAATTATTTGTCGGCAACGTCATTAAAATCGCTTGATTATAGTCATCATGATGATGGTCTCCATTAATATATGCAACAGAAGTAGTATTATTGTCATTAATATTATTCTCTAAAAATAAACCTGAATAGTTGAAGTTATCAAAGAAATTTTGAGATGAACTTGATTTTTTATATATTTTATATAAATCAAGAAATTGTGTTAATGCGCGACAAAATTGAATATCACCGCTGCCAATAATATGTTTGATTTCGTCAACGAAATTCTGAAAATCTTCTGGTAAATTTGGAAACATCAATTGATTATTTGTAGAATCATGAGTAGTGGATTCAGAATTGAAAATTAAAGGGGATGTAATATTAGAAGTAGACGCAATCGAAATATTAGTATTTCGACGCGATAGACTTATTCTTGAAGAATTATTATTGTCGTTATTGTCATAATTATTTTCATTATTAACGACATTAATGTCATTATTTTCATTATTAATAATATTGTTATTATTATTATTATGGTGGTGGTGGTGGTGGTGGTTGTTATCATTAACATTAATGTTAACATTATTATTATCATCATCATCATGATTACTTGGGATAATAATAGTGGAGGCTGAATGTGGAAAGTGCATGTATTGTTGTGGCGGTGGTTGTGGTGGACTGTTTCCTACACTATAAGAAGAATACAGTGATGCAGAATCAGTTGGCGTTCCAGAAATAGGGGAATTTAGTTGATCAAGAAATGATGATCCAGATTCAGCAAATTTGGTTTGTTGTGAATAAATGTTAGCGTTAGATGATTCCGTTAATGCAGGTGAAGTAGATTGATGAAGTGGTCGTGTTTGTTGTTGCTGTTGCTGTTGCTGTTGTTGTTGTTGTTGTTGTTGTTGTTGTTGTTGTTGTTGTTGTTGTTGATCTGTTATTATTTCTAATGGATGATTGTGATTATATACTAAATGAATTTCGCATGGATGAGAAAGTTGTAAACGAGCTTTTTCAAGTCGAATTTTTGCTAAACATTGACAGTTTGTATTTCTATTTCTTCTTTGTCCCGCTTTTGGCGCATAAGATTTTTGCATATATTTAATTGCGGCGATGTCAGCATGTCTACAATGAAAATCTTTATGATAAATAACTTTTATTCCTTTAACTTTATCCGCACGTGTAATTCTGAATACTGTTCCTGTTTTATTATTGAACGCCGATCGCCATGCTTCGATCCCTTCCGCAGATGAAATATTCACATAAAAGGTTGAATCAAATGCGACTGTTGGTGCTCCTTCTACTTTTGATGGCTCCAATGTTTTACATGACTTTATGATATAAGTATAATTAGCCGGTAATGTTTCGCGTAAGTGATCTGGTAACTGATCGAGTGTCGCTGGCATTGTTGGTTTTGTTGTGGTACCGGATCCTGAATTTACTCGTTCCGTAAACCGTTTTCGTAGTTCAATGCGAGATGGTGGTGGTGTACGCTCATTAGACATTTTTATTTTATGTAATTATTTTATGCAAGTTTTTTTTAAATTTTTAAGGAAGCGTGTAGTAACAAATAACGTGTACAATTGATTCGTCTACTAATTTATTGGTAACTGATCGGTAGTGTGTATAATTTTGATAAAAAACTGACTTGGCTGTACTTTATTATAAATTTGAATTTTCTTTAAAGAAAAACGGAGAAATTTGGGCAAGCGAGACCATTTATACTAGTTTTACATAGTTATTAGTAAGAGATGTCAAAGGTGAAAAAAGTGCCGTTACCAAATGAAGGAAATAGACTAACTATTATAATACGAACACAATCAAAAGAGTTATTTTTAGAATTTTTATTTATATTGTTGATGATTATATATTATATAAATTATAGTGTATATATATATATATATGTATGTATGTCCCTCCTTAATAAATGCTATTTATAAATATCCTTAACCCAACAAATGATGTTCTTGATATATATAAATAGGTTTTTTATATTATTGACTATATATATATAATAGATCTGTGTATGCGTTTGTGTAATGAGTTTTTTTATATTATAACAATGAACAATGTGATCTACTCGTAAATTTTATTTTTTCCCCTCTTGAAATCATTCAAATTATGGAGAATTCAATTGATTGATGATAAGTTAGGATAATCTATTAATATCTATTACTAAAACTACTCCCCCAAAACTAGTAAAAATTTAGAGTAAGCTGGCACTAATTCTATTGTCGTTTATTTTTTCGTACTATTACTTCATCGTTTTTACGCTACCCCCGATACTGGTTATTTCGAATTTGTGATAATTTAGTTTTACCAACCAACCATCTACCCAATTACAAAATTTAACTAAAACGTATTCTAAAGATATTACCGCCCATTTCGGTAGACAAACCTTATTTTCTCGAATGCACGAAACTTTTTAAGAAGGTGTAAAAAACATATTTTGGTTGCGAATTTTACCTCTGATAAGATCCGCTGACAAATTGACAGACACAAGATGAAACGATCAAGTTGATCCCCTCAAGACAACTTATTAATCCTTCCTAAATACACGAAAATGATTTCATCTTCCTTAATTTTTCTTTCGAATAATGATATGATGCCATTTGATGATCAAACCCTATAAGCATATTACCGATCGAAAAAAAATGCTGTTCTATTTTTATCTCAATAAAGTTTACATTTACAATTTGTTTATTTTTTAGTTAGGAAATAATTTTCACAATTGTCACACATATCGAGTTAATAGATATGTAAAAAAAAAATAATTTGGCGCGTCGAGACCAAAAATCCGAATTTTAACGTTTAAAGCTTTATCATGATTTCTATTTTTATAATTTTTATTATGTCAGGCAAGCACGTAAACTTATTTGCGAAAGTTTAAGCTGAAACATACAATATTTTTCATTTAGTAGATCAAACAAATACTGATCCCTTGAATCAATCAGTATATAATGGAGGATTAATAATATATTTTAGCTGTTTATGGTATTTCCTTTGACTTAGGCAAAAGAAGTATCATTCATAAGAGATTTTAATATATTATTTATAGCTTTATAGATTAGGCAGCTATAAATATATGTGATGACGAATGTCTTTTGATTCGTTCGTTCGACAATTTTCTAAATATAAATTCATATTTACTAGCTAAAAGCTTTTAGTAAGCCGATTTTTAAATTTATTCTCTTTTGAAGATCCAGCAAATTGTTTTCTTAATATTATGCCAATTTCTTAGTGAAGGAATCAACTTCATAAAATTAAATCTCAAATTCATTTACATAATGAAGGATATTATAAATTTACCGTAAAATAAGCTTTTTTGCAACGGGGGTGGACATAATGCTGGTCAAAATGGGTATAATGCGGGCCAGTGATGCTTACTTTCAGAAAGTGCTTATTTCCAAGTTTTACGGTAATTTAACTTTACTCCAGATATTCTGAAACTTAAAATTTGATACAAAACGAATATTTATAAGAAAATTAGCCGAATATTTTAGATTCCATAATTCTTTTTGTTACAAATGTCATGATCGAGTTGGGTTAATTAATTTAGTGCTTACATGATAACATTTTCAACGGTTTAGAATATTTACCCGATATATTGTCTAAAAAATTTTCCATTTAAGTATCATTTAAAAGATCTCGAAAACAAAACTTTATAGTAATACAAAAAGGAAACCTTTAATAGTTCTATTTTTAATTAATAAAGTCGATCGCATAAAGTATGTTGAGCAAAATAAAAAATCTTTATAAGTTTAATTTAATGGCGTCATTTTACATCAGAATTCTAAATTGTAGATCTCAAAGTATCCAAAACTGAATCGGCACACCCAACTAAAAATTCATTTGTCAATTAAAATTATATATACAATATTTGGGTTTCAGATTTTGCGATTTTCTTGGTTAGGTAACATCAATGATATCGATATTTATATCGTTGCATATGCGTGCATATTTATTTTCCCAATTTATCAAGACATTTATAAGGATATCTTCCGATTCACTACCGATTAATGAATTCTATCGTGATGTGGAATTGAAGAGAACCTTTGTTATGTTCTATTAGAACTTTACGAGTAACCTCGTTTTTAGCACAGGAGCAGAATAAATAAATAAATTCATAGCAGTCAATTCCAATGAGATATTTGTAATATTTAATAAAACAAAATTTAAAATTTTGATCCCCAAAGCTTTCTGTTCATACCGTAAACTATTTACAATAGAATTGTATTTTCTGAGCTAATTTCACATAGTTCTTTGTATGAAATTAAATTATATCAGTCTATGCATACGCGAGAGAAAGACCTCTTTTTTAATGTTCTAAAAATAGAATAAAATTGATACTTTTATGGTTATACATTGTTATTTTTAAAAATAGGTAGCGATCATAACTTTTTAGGGCTTTTAAGGTTTTGAGTAGACTCAGACTCTTTGTTAATTTGAGAATGATCTTCGCATTTTTAAGTCTAACACTAATAATGACCATCACGTATATTGTTTACTACTAAAAGAAACTGTCGTAAAATAACTAACTACAGTTCTCTAGGATTTAAAAAAATAATGGCATAATTAACTTAATATTTCTATTTTTAGATTTAAACTTTCAGTTTAAAACAACAATAATATATGGTAAATGAATTATTCACCCATCAATTAACAATATAATAAATAAAAACAATAAACGTGAATGATCTCAAACACAATAAATAAACTTTAAAGAAAATATTTGGACTAACTATAATAATGCGTTTATTTTCACAAGACAATTACATGTTTGCATGTGTGTGTGACTGAATGTTTTATTTTGTATTCCTTTTGATGAAATGATTGACAAAGTTATTAATAAGGTTACATACATATACAGTGCATGCGCTATTTTTATACTTCCATCCCTATTGCTCAAAAAAAAATTTTCCGAATTGTTATTCTGTGGTTATTTTTATCCTTTTGTTCATGTACTGACTAAAAGATTTTCTTATAATTTACCATAATTAACTAACAATCTTTTTTTAGCATAAATAAATCTAAAAATAAATTCAGCAAATAAGAATTGAAATTTTTAACCTTTTTTTTTTTGTATTAATTCGTTTTTATTTTTCTCATTAATGTAAAAGAATTGAAATGCTATGTTTTTCTAATTACAAATAAAACTTGAAACTTAATTTTTTTAATTGAATAATTTTAGTTGTATAAATGGTGCTGTATATATCTTATCTTATCTTATCTTTCATAACTCCATTGATAAAGTTAAGCTAATCTACCACTTATCATATACTCCAACCAGTTTTCGATCGTTTGCAAACATGCATGGTGGAATAACTTTTGCAATACATGACATTTACATACATAGATGTCGTCGCGTTTGATAAAATTATCTTTGACTAGGAGATGATAAATTGATTTGCTGCAAGATCGTGCGCAATAAGCATTTGTTTAATATAAATGCGCATCATGTAATCGAGAATTTTTTTTCTCATTGTAACCAAATTCACACATTTGCTGAGTTAATGTATTTTTTTATTTTCTGAATGTTACATGCAATCAATATCTTGTAAACTATTGAATATTGCCATAACGATAGTTAAACCGTAAATACGTGTACTACAGAATACAATTACCGTGCGTACGTTAATAAACACATGTAATAAGTTCTATTTACGTATGACACAAATGTTTATTTATTAATGAAAAGAAAATTGTAACTTCACTGTCAAATTAAAAGATACACTATTCTCCAAAAGATTTTTGTTACTATCAAATTTTTCAATGAGAATACTGTATCTCTCAAATGTGCGTCCGTTTTCGAGCACTGATTTCAGGAGTCCCCAGGTCCTTTCAAAATTTAATCATTATAAGTTTTTCGGACAAAAGCCCCGACACATTATTGACCTTCGTACAATTGAGGATGCTAAAGCTTCTTATAATCCCCATTTATCGAGACAATCTATTTCAAAGGACAAACTTTCGATGCTTATTCGATAAATTGCAAAATGAACAATTTATTTTATTGCCAAGTAAAGTACACGCTTTTGGCGTTGATATTTCCAAATATTTCCCGTAAAATCATT